AAAAAAATCTCACAGGAAATCCATAACTATTTGGGTTCGGGTACTGTGGACTCGATGGAATTGTAGTTGCTGGACTGCGGATCACATTCGATTGCTGCTGCGTCATGGAGGTATACGAGGCTGGTGTAGAGGCTTGAATAATTTGGAAAATTGTTGGAGCTTAAACATGATGAAGAGAAAGGACTTACGCTGTGGCTTCGGAGGTGGTGGAGCAGCTAAAGGTTTCTGCTCGATGATCACATTCGGATTATGAACTACAGCAGACGTTGTGCTCTGTGCCGATCCCGATGTGGGCTGATGGTGAACCTGGGCCGTGCTTGGGGTGGAATGCACTTGTTGAGCCTGTGCCGCCAGATTAGCCGCGCGAACAGCTGCCACTTGCTCCTCCTGCTTTTTCAGTCGAGCTGACTCAGCTTCCTCTTCTTCCTGGAAAGGAAAGAACTTCTCTTGAAAAGTTGTACAAACCAAAGCCAGTGTCAACCTGAAATCACTGCAGTCATGATCAAACCAAAACGTAGCCCTTCTCTGATGAAGAAAAAAGTAGGTAAGCAGTAGAAGCAGGATGTTTCTCAAAGCCAACGTCTTTCAGAGGGTCGACCGACTCACTAGTGAGTAGAAGATTTAGGGCTTTCCAATGACAATCTGAGAGCAACTTCCTATATGAGTGAAATGTACAAGCGGGTGGCAATTCTGGTTCTCGTTCTGTATCTCAATGGCAAGCGACAAGTAAGCACTTAGCGTAATCTTTGACAGGAATCCAGATCTTCCTCTTTACCGGAGCGAGTTTGCGCCATTAGATGAGATGGCGCACGCCGCCAGGGTACAAGAACCTACGCCCATCATTCTGCAGAAACCTTGACAGCATTAGGGCTCGAGGCTACGAACCAAAGGAGTTTATGAAACCACTGGAAAAGGAATCAGAACATGAAAACCCTCCCCTGCGCCCATTTTTTGCCAGTTCCTTAAATCATCCCAAAAACTAATTTAGGAAAAGGAGATTCTTACAATCTTAACTATTTCACGTTTCTACAACCTTTCTATGATCTGGAAGACCTTCCCATCTTCAGTGAGACTCCGTTCAAATAAGTCATCTAGCTGATAATGTGTGACAAAGGTGATGTAGTGCCAAGAGGCGCATTATCAACCACTACGAGGATCGAAATCCGTACTGATGTACCCGGAAAGGTTAACTGACGCTCCGATCATGATCATGTGGTAACAGACTCCTCTGAGAGGTTGAATTGCACATTTGCTGGTCACCGCAAGTCATCGTGTACGCCGCACACGCGTTTAGAACCCCACTGCGCTTTTGAATGGAAGGCGAATGAAATGGCGCACCTCAACGTGATCGATCAAAGCCAAAAGATTTTCATGAACTCAGAGATGCTCTGAAACTGGACATGTCACAAAGTTATCACGAAATTCCGACCTACTCTTTGAGGGAACTAAGGTTTTTCTGAGATTATGCAGAGCCCTTTTTCTCGGTTCTAGCGAAAACCAAGGAAATGTAATGTCATGCAAAGCAGGACCAACAATATCATGCTCGAAGAAAACAAAAGGTACAATTACGAGCTTCTTCTTATCAGCAGCAGCTCAAAGTTCACGTCAGGCATGCACTCTCACAAAAAAAAATCTTATGAATTTCGGGACGTAAGCAGGAGACCACGAAATATTCACCTCGAGAGCCAATTTCATCTCAGTCGGAATTGGAACCTCACTGTGTGTCACCTCTTCCAGAAGGATCTCTTCTTCTAACAGTTGGGCAGCTTTCTCCTCCTCCTAGATTTCGTTGACTAATTGCTATGAGAAGTTCACGTAGTTGACGAAACAAATCATGCAAACACTAGGAGAAGCTCTACCTCTCGGAGCTGAGCTTGACGTTTCCTTTCCGTCTCTCTCGCTTGCTCTTCTTCCTGTAAACGTGCAAAACAACGGACATACACATATATCACAAACATCTATATTAGGCAAATCTTCAGTGTCAGCTCTCTTGAATCGTTTCAATCGAAATCAGTTCATCCTTGGCCGATCAGATACTCTTTAATCTACCAATATCGCAACTATGAGAGGTATGGAGTAAGGTTGGAACACGACACGACTAAATGGTGTCGATTCAAGAATGAGAGACATCGTGAGAGCTTACAGCTTTAATTCTGATCTCCTCTTGTCGCTTACGTTCTTCCTCCTCTTTCTTCAGTCTCTCAGCTTCCTAAAAAATATATAGTTCTATCCTGACTATGTGAAAATTTACAAATTTTCAAATAACCTAGTTTTCAATTGAGAAAGAAATAAGTTCTACAAGCATGTATATTTCAGATAATGATACCACTATAAACAGCGTTCAAGAAGCATGGTAATAAAAACCATGACAAACCAATAATAAAGCGAGCTACCACTTCGACACCACTTCATGTATCTTCTCAACGAAGATAATAATTGACGATAACTACTGATAATTGAATAGTATTCACCGACCTCTCTAGCTAGCCGTTCTCTTTCTTCTTTCATAATGCGCTCTTTTTCCGCCTGCTCTTGAAGACGTTTTTCTCGCTCCTCCTGAATCAATTAACCGTTTTCTTGGTTAGTGTACTGCTCCTAGTAAGAATATTTGCCTAGTTCAATATGAGCCCGCAGCGTAAGCTGTACTAAGAGACGACAGATGACACATGAGGTCCATGTCAAAACCTGGGGAGGAGGTTGCCCTCTGTCGATGGGACAAGCACTGTTCTGTTTGACACATTCGTTGAACTACTAAGCTGATGAATAGGTATACAAGTATGGAAGGAAGTAGTATATCTCCATATATGCGCACCCTCACTCAGTACACACTGCAGTGACTAGCTTGCCGAGGCAAGATATAGTCTTGACGAAAAAGTGATTGTTTAGAAGTCGTTTAACATCTACTAACGGATGGCGTATTCATGGCGACTGAGTGCTTGACCACTGATTCGAGCGAGCCAGGCTCTATCAAGATCAATGGCACTGAGCTCACATGGACAGCAACCTTCAAGTACCATGCATCGGCAATTGCGTCTGATGGCAGCCTGGGTTTTGAAACAAATTCTCGCGTGAATGCAGCGTGGTTGAAGTGGCGCTCAATGACTGGCGTACTCTGCGATAAGAACATCCCTGAGCGTCTCAAATCAAAAAGCTACAGAACAGTCATAAGGCCATCGCGATATACGGCGCCGAGTGCTGGCCTACGACCAAAGTAAGCTCGTCTTAGTGCTATGGAAACCAAGAAGCTCGTTTCAGTGTTATGGAGACCAAGGTGCTGCGCTGGACAGCCGGAGTAACACGAGTAGACCGCATAAGTAATGACGCCATCAGGGAGCGATTCGGTGTAGCGCCCATTGTCGATAAAATGCGCGAAGCCCGTCTCCCTTGGTATGGCCTTGTTCTCCGCGCGGATGAAGACAGTGTTCGTAAGATCGGTCTCAACTTAGATGTGTCCGGAAAGCGGCCTAAAGGGCGCCCAAAGCAGCGATGGCTCGATACGTTGCACGAAGACCTCAAAACGCTCAACATCCACCCCGATCAAGCGTTTAGTCGAGAGAAGTGGCGTCAACATATTAGAAAGGAGGACCGC